TATACATATATATATATATATATATATATATATATATATATGTATATACATGTACATATATACACATATATATGCATGTATGTATGCATGTATATGTGTAAATATATGTATACATATATATGTACATATATATACATGTATATATACATATATATACATATGTATATTGGTTCTGGTATTGAAGGAGGATATTAGTAGCTCCTCGGACTTTAGTAGCCTCCTTCAAATATGGGAAGCGATCATCGCATGTTGTTGACTAGAATACGTATCATCCTAGTTCATAGAAGGGTGCTGTATACGACAAGTTAGCGTAACATATCCAGAATAAATAGCAGCGCACACCAGAATATCCGGTGTGATCATGCGTTTTGTGCAATTCTGTCCACCGAACGATTGCCTGTTAATGATTTTCACTGATTCGCACTTTATTTGTGCAAAAATAGTTGAAATGTTGGAAAATAGTTAAAAATTTCACGCATCGGAATGTGAAAGCGGAATTTGAAACCTCGAAGGGTGAATATCCTTTCAAAACTTCAATCTCCTAATTTTTCGGCTTTCGAATGATCTTTGAGACAAAAATTGAGGTGGTCGTACTTGAGACCTCGGCATGCTTAGGAACTGAGTTCGAGTTTGTTAAGCCCCTGCTTAAGCAGGGAAAATTCCCCTAAAATTTTTACCCCCTAACTCATCTGACTCCCAAGATAATGATTTTTCTTGCCAAAGCATTCACGGGTACGTCGAAAATTTACGGAGTTGTACGTGGGCAGGGGATGCCATGATAAAATTCCAGCTTTTTTGCTTTTGCAGTTCATAAGATAATAATTCCCCTAACAAAACTTTCACGAAGCTGTACTTGGTACCCAGAGGTGCGTGAAGACTGAATTCAAATTTGCGGAGGTGCACGCTGATAGGGGGTATCACCTCAAAATTTTAGGTTCCCAACCTTCTTGATTCCCGAGATAACAATTTTCCTCGTCGAAACTTTCGTGAAGCCCTATGTGATACCTGAGCGTGCAGGGACACTGAATTTGCAACGTCGTACATAGGCAGCGGGTCATTACCGTAAAATTTCAGCTTCCTAGATTTCATGGTCCCCGGATAATCATTTCCTGCCGAAACTTTTTACGAGGCCGTATGTGTTACCCGCGGGCAGGGAAAGGCTGAATTTAAATTCCCTGGGTCGCGTGTGGGCAGAACACATGCCCACAAAATTTTGGCCTTCTAGCTTCTGTGGTCCACGTGATAATAATTTCACCCGCCAAAACTTCTACGGGGCCATACGTGTTACCCGCGAGTTCGGGGAGGCTGAATTTAAATTTATGGGGTTACAGTTGGGCGGGGAACGTCCTTCCAAATTTTCAGCTTCCTAGCTTTTGTAGTTCCCGAGTTGAAAGTGCGGGACAAAGCGCGCGCGCACACACGCACGCACACACATACACACACACACACACACACAATTCCCTGACAATATGCGTTTTGTACTGCTTTTACGCAGCACAAAAGGCATAAAAATCGATGGTGAGGGGATGAAAGGACAACTCGAGAATACCGACTGGGCCATGCTGGCGAACACTGATGAAGATTACAAATGCATTACTGACAAGCCTTTTGAGTGCGCTAAACAAGCCGACAGTGCTCGATCTGGGCGATCAAATTCGAGAATTCCAGAGGTACATAACTGTTGTTAGAGAACAGAGAGATAAATGGTAAAACTTAAATGATGGAGCATCCTCTTCTCTGCAGGCATATTAGACGAAGGTTGAATGAGGATCTTGACAACTGCAGTCGTCGACGGAAGGCAAAGACGATTCAAAAAAGGCACAGCCTGAAGAAATGCTGATGAAAGCTGTTGATGTATATTCCATGATGACAACGGTCAAGGACGGAAGCGAATGTCAAGTAACGAACTGAACAGATATGAAGAACGTCCGCAGAAAATTTTGCACAAACTTGCTTGCATCACGCAGCGATACCCCAGCACCTGTATTTAGTGTCATTAAGCAGCAAATCCCTCCAGTACTTTTCAGCTAGGTAAGGCATGCAGCTCTCCAAAACGAAGGGTGAAAGGGTTCTTAGAAATTAACACTGAGCTGACCAGATCCGGAGGGCGTGAACTTTGAAAAGCTGCTGCCATCCGGTTCAATCGGTACTGCGCCCAACGAAAAATACCTAGCAATGTTGAAGAGTCGAAAACCGTTTCGCTGCACAAAAAGGGCGATCAGGGAGATCGGAAGAGCTATTGCCCGATCTGCTTACTCTGTCATATTTTACAAGTTATTCACGAGGACTGTCACTAATGGACTAGCAAGACTTCTCGATGAACAGCAGCCGAGGGAGAAAGCTGGATCCCGGGGTAATTGCGGCATGATGGGTCACTGATTCATTCTGAGCCGGCTGCTGGAACGTGCATGTAAGTACTAACTCCTCTATCTCCTCTTTGTCAGTTATGAAAAAGCACTGATAATGAGGAGCTGAATGCTGTGGTGCGAGCTCTTGTGGACAAAAGGAATAATGGGAACTGTGTGGAAACCGTTAAGGAAGCAAACATAAGTTGCTCGATAAAAATAACACTTTCCTCTACTCGAATCTCCGTACGAATCGAGAGGGGAATGGGGCAGACGGATCTCATATCGCCCAAACTTATCATGGATTATCTCAAAGTGGTATTTTGGAAATTGGATTGAAAGGGTAATTTGAAGATAAGCAGCTAAATTACTTGCGCTTCGCGAATGGCGTAGTTCTTACTGCCAACAATTCGCGGAATAAAAGAGATGCTGCTGCAGCTCAACATACGAAGCAAAGAAATGTGCCTGCAAAATAACACGTCGAAAACAAAGGTGATGCAAAGTCCTGGTATGCCTGCGGCAAGATTGCGGATAGATGGTGTGAACTCAGAAGCTGACAACTACAGAAGAACTCAGAAGCTATGCACCACAATATCCTGCTGGAGATAGCACATTGAAGGGTTTCCAGTTAGCGCGAATTCCACAGCATCGCCGTGTCCTCAGAGTGTTGAACCGGAAAGATCATGCCAATTTCTACAGTACCGTGTGTTGAAAGATGCGAAACGTAGTCACTCACAAAAGTTGAGGAGCTTGTACTGGCAGTAATCGAGAGAGTGATGGAGCGAAGGATGTTTGGCGTACTTCTTCATGACCATACAACCAATCAAACTACCCGTCCGATGAGCGCCATGCAGGGCGTTATAATGACCACGCGAGTAAGTAAAATCCGGCGGCCAGGACGTGTTGCTTGGTTTGTCGACAACTGGCGGACAATGTGCATTAGTAAGTAGTATTTCTGTGAAAGTAAGCGACCGTTCAGACTATCCTCGAAGAGGTGGTACACATACATCGAGTAGGGGGTAGGTATTAACTGAAGGCATGCAGCTCTGGATCGAAAGGCCTGGGACAGCTGCGCTCGACGTGTGGGAGCATCCTAGTAACACAACTAAGGATATTCACACTGATAGCCGTGGTTTTAGTATTCGTATATATATATATATATATATATATATTTGTCTGAGCACACTTTTATTCTGGAACTTCGATATTTTGTAAATCTAGATTTTGACCGTGCAGCAGGCCTTGAATTTTCGATTTTTTTGTGCCCCTGAGTTTTAGTCTTGGACCTGTAAAATCCAAATCTCCAAAACCAAGAATTTTGCAAGCTTAAATTTTGGAGACAAAATTGCCGATGGTATACCAGGTCAAAAACCTGAAATGAATTCTCACATAGTTTTGTGTCCGCAGGCTAGGCTTCAGGCATACTGCTTCGCTTTCGGCAAAAGCTGCGTTCGGGCACTGAGAGTGACGGGATTACACTACTCTTTCCTCTTTCCAATGCTCAAGAGAATTAGAGGTGATTTCCGAATTCCAGGATGGGAAATTGATGAGTGAGTTGTGACGTGTCAAAGAGTTTATGAGTTATCTGCGGTGTCTGATGCTGCCAATGCGTACAGGCAGTGAAAAAGTGCAGTTCCCTAAGCGATGAGAAAAAGGGCGGGAGTCGATGAGAGCTTGCACATGCTGAGGTCATGGAGGAGAGGGATACCCCCAAAGGTGCGCTTTGTGTGCCACCGTACCTTCCTCAGAGCAACGATTTGTCCGGCCGGTTTACATTGCGCATCACATTCTGCTGACGTTCCTGTAGTATGGTGTTTGCTCTTCGACCCAGCACTGTTCTTGCGCATTGAGCATCCCTCGTCTCGTTCCGGGGCCTTGCACGCCCGTCAGCCAAGCAATCATCTCCCATCTGGCGTAAAAGCCGGTTCGGTTTTTCGGCGAAGAAACAAATCCAAACATTGTCTGCGCTTGTGCCACTCATCGTCTTCCCAACCACCAGCGACAGCTGTTACGTGCAGTCTTTGAGCTTAGCGGTACAAACAGCAAAGAGGAGTTGCTGTGCGGAAAGGTTTAGATCCATCTGCTCCACTTTTTTAAATGGGGCGTTTTCTCGCCTCTGACCATTGCCAGTCCCCAGCCAACGGTACTGTCCCTCTGGCAAAATTTTGCGCCCTGTGGCCTGCCCTGCTACACCCGCCAGGCGTCTTGGGGGCCTTTTTTATTGTTTGGTGCCATTTTCTTTGCGCGGTTCGCTCACGCAACTTCGCGTCGATCCCACTTCCTCTGCATATGAGTGAAGCGGACGGGACAAGGGTAGGGGCCGGGGAGGGAGGGGAGAAGAATGGTGGTATAATTCGACCACTAGTAGTGTCTTCCTGCCGAGATTATGATTTAACTGCTGAGGTTGCGATGATGCACTTGAAGCATCCAAGTCGCTAACTGCGTGAACCTTTGTCGCTTTACATTTAGCCGCTGCACTCATTACCTCAAATTTTGCATCAAAATGATTGATTTCCGATGACCAGTTGCTCAATGAAAGCGACCTAGTTGTTCTGATTCCCAAGTTAGCAGTTTCCGCGCTAAAAAACTCACGTGTTCGTGCGTAAGAAGTGGGTCTGCTTAGGAGTTGAATTTGGCGTAGATAGAGGACATCTTCCTGAAATTCCAGCTTCATAACTTAACTGGTTCCCGAGTTAGCAGTTTTCCCGCCGACACTTT